GAACACATTTTGGATGGAAGTTCCTATGTGAAAGAAGCCAAGAAAATCCATGAAATGGACCCGTTACAAAAGCCTAAACAAGATCGTTACGCGCTTAGGACATCTCCACAATGGTTAGGCCCACAAATCGAGGTGATTCGATCATCAACTAAGATGATTGAAAGAGAGATTAACTCTGTTAATGACAATCCTTTGATTGATGTGTCAAGAAACAAGGCATTACATGGTGGGAATTTCCAAGGGACACCAATAGGTGTGTCAATGGACAACACTAGGCTAGCACTTGCCTCAATTGGCAAACTCCTATTTGCACAATTCTCTGAACTTGTCAATGACTATTACAACAATGGTTTGCCTTCGAATCTCACCGGTGGAAGGAATCCTAGCTTGGATTATGGTTTCAAAGGTGCTGAAATCGCTATGGCCTCGTACTGTTCTGAACTCCAATTTCTCGCGAATCCAGTAACTAACCATGTACAAAGTGCTGAACAACACAACCAAGATGTCAACTCACTAGGCCTAATCTCATCAAGAAAGACAGAGGAGGCAGTTGACATATTGAAACTCATGTCATCCACTTACCTAGTAGCACTATGTCAAGCAATTGACTTGAGGCATTTGGAAGAAAATCTCAAAGCCACAGTGAAAAGTGCAGTGAGTTTAGCAGCCAAGAAAGTCTTGATCACTGGCCAAAATGGTGAACTTCATCAATCAAGATTCTGTGAGAAAGACTTGCTCAAAATGGTTGACAGAGAGTATGTTTTTTCATATGCTGATGACCCCTGCAGTGCTAATTACCCTTTAATGCAAAAGTTGAGACAAGTTTTGGTGGATCATGCACTAAAGAATTCTAACACTGAAATCTTCCAAAAGATTAGTGCATTTGAGGAAGAATTGAAACTTGTTTTGCCTAAGGAGATTGAGAGTATTAGATGTGATTTGGAGAATGGAAAGGCACCAATTGGTAATAGAATTCAAGAATGCAGGTCATATCCATTGTACAAATTTGTGAGGGAAGAATTAGGTGCTAAGTATTTGACAGGTGAAAACGTTTTATCTCCTGGTGAAGTATTTGATAAAGTGTTTACAGCTATGAATGAAGGTAAGTTGATAGATCCATTGCTTAATTGCTTGAAGGAATGGAATGGTGCTCCTCTTCCACTTCGCTAAGAGAAAGAAGGACTTATGTTGCTTGGACACTTCAAAGGGTACGTGTCGGATCCTTTAAAAGTGGTGTATTTTTGGAGGATTTGAGACGGTGCAAGCAACATAGGGAAAATATATTTGTCGTAATAATGTAGGTACATTACTTTTTAAGTTTATTTTTCTAGTTTTGTGGAACTTTTTCTAATGGTTTGTATGAATATTTGTGAATCTTTAAACTTATTGATGATACTCTAGATCTTGTTCTAGAGCAATTGTATTTAAACTTTTGTGGCTTCTTTCAAGAAGAAATGTTGTATAGACAATAAGAAGACTACTTCAACAAATTTTAAATATTTTTCATTGTACCCACACCTTTTAGTTTAGGTAGATATCATTTTGTTCTTCTTGATTTTTGCTCTTTGATTTGTGGTCATTAGTTTAAATTATCCAACAAATCCCCTTCTAGAGTTGTCAATGAGTGGAGGAGGTTTGGTAGGTGAGAAAAGAGAGAGAGTGATATATTTTCTAATTTTTTGGCCATTAATCAACTTGTATACAAAAAGTAGGTAAGCACATAGCATGAGAACAAAAATAACAAAAAATGTCATAATCCAAAGTGCTCATTAATCTTGAACTTTGAAAGAGAAATGGATCATAAATTTTGACAATGACAAGAATGTTAAATGCTAATTACTGTAAAATATGATTAAAAGAATTCGTAAACGATCAATTTATATAATTTAATTTCTTATATATAAAAGGGTCGTCTCTTAACTGAATAAAACAAAATTTTAAATCACATATCATAGCATTTTTAATTTTCTATGTTTTAGAAGCATGTCATAAATGATAAAATAAGAAATTAAAAGTCAACAAGTTTTTAAATGCCACCAGATATTGGTTGTTTAGGATATGTGGGAGAGAAATAGATAAGGAGATAATAATGGATTATCTTACCTAGATGCTATAAATATATTAAGAAACAATACAATTCTTGTCTCAAAACTTTATAGTTATTTTTCAAAGATTAAGAAATTAACCAAAGCAAATGACCAAAAATAAGAATAATTTTTTCACAAATTTGTTTGTAATTTGCATACTAGTTATGTTGATGCAAAATGCAAATGTAGCAATAGCAAGTCTCGCAGATAGGGCCAGAGCATGCATGCCATCATGCCGAGCAGTTCCAACTTCTACTCTTTCGAGTTGTGAGAAAGCTTGTCTAGATTTTGCAAAGCGAACTTATGATAAGAATTCATAAATATGGAGTAACTGATAGGTCAACTAGAGGGCCGGTTCAATAGAATGGGTGACTTAAATATTGTAATTGATTCTAACTAAATTAATTTTTTTTTTAATTGACAGTAGAACGTTTCTGGTAATATTTTGTAACTAGAAAGGATATTGACATGAGGGTTATACAACTCTACATGTAAGTTGTACCCACATGTTTATGCGGGGGTGTATGCGACCAGGGTTCTGTCCAAGGAAGAACCTCTTTTTTAAGCTTAATATTGGTGCACCCACAATTTTCAAATCTTGGGTTCGTCTCTGGTGGTAACCATAAGAAAATATCAGCACATATAGTTTAAATCAAATGGCAACCTCCAACAAATTTTCTTTTTTTTCCTTGATTAAGTAACTGTATTATTCGATATTGTGTTGTAAATTACAGAAGTTTGAGGGATCAATCTTGTTACAAGTGAAGGTATTATAAACTTCATAATTTACATAATCAAGTCTACGCCAAAAGGCTAAAAGAAGTTAATAAGATGTCTCAAGTGTATGTAGTGGATTATACGCTACCTTCAACCCCCACGGGTTAACTCGGTTGGCTAAGGTTGAGAGACTTGTGTGTTAGGTCACATGTTTGAGCCCTTGCTAAACGAACTAACTTTGTTGTTTAAATGGAGAAGGGTGGAGGAATGGCCCATCATCCCCGAGTTAGCCTATAGGGTAGGCTCCAAATGGATTTCTCGATCATAAAAGAAAAATGCTACCTTCAAAACATCTAAAATACCTGGAGGGTATATGTCTACCATGGCCTTTTGCATCTGGTAGGTATCTTCCTTGCAAATCAACTCAGGAAAGGTTCTGTTAAGGAGATCAAATTGTTCCTGTTGAACTCTTCCCAAAAACAAGTGAAATGGTATTCTTTCGTATGGCTGCACATATTTGCTGCCTGAAAAAACAAAAGCACAATGAGCAATATTGATTACGACACTGTAGAAGTCTGCCAAATAGACACACGACAACATCCAATGCACCAACTTAAGTTGCAGAAATGGAAATTTGGAACAAATGAAACTGCGTAAAGCAATTAAAATGGAAATTAGGAACCAGAGGTATTAAGTCATTGGATATTATCCATTCAAGCTTCATGTACTTAAATGTCGAACTAATATCTGGTTCCAATTTTAAAAAAGAACATCCAGTCTGTTTATTAACATGATTAACTACAGATTAAGAGTTGCAGAAGTTCCCAAGTCAGCCAGTCAAGAGCAATCAGCTTATTTCAAGTCACTTCACAATCTTGTTTATATAAAAAATGACATTTTTGTTTCTTTTGTTGCCCACAACAATTGTAAACGGTGAAAGGGGGGAAAAGTATATTAAGGGTTGATTGGTTTTGAGTAATACAAAGTAAAAGAAATAATATTCATGACATAGCAATTTTAAGTAAAAATTTGCTATGTAACTCAGTGTTCCATTCCATTTCTTTTCTTTCCATCAATTAACAAAAAAATTTGAACTTATAGCCAAAGCATAGATGTCTTCGTTTGGTACGTGGATAATAAAACCCGGGATAAAATTCAGGATTAACTTTATCTCATGTTTGGTTTGAAGTATTAGCTAATCCCAAGATTATTCTATCCCACTATTTGTACTAAAATGGTTTACTATCCCATATAAAATGTTTCTCCCAAGGGATATCCTTGCTTATCCCATCCCATCGCGCATACCAAACGACCAGTAAAAAATGAAGCACTCACACTCATTGTAAAGATAAACTTTTTACAACTAATACTCTATGTTGCTTGGACTCTTCAAAAACGTCTAAAGATGCGTGTGCATTTTTGGAGGATCTGACACATGTGCAACAACATTTTTAGAGAGCCCGAGCGACATAACTAATAGTTTAAAGGTAAGCAAATCATTTTACAAACATAATCATATCACTCATTTGGCACCTCCTATTTGTTCTAATGTTATTTGTTCTAATGTTTTCATGCCCATCTCATCATCCACCACAAATTTGTTTACACTAGTATCCACAAGACTAGAGGGATTGACTCAGTTGGTGAAAGACCCTCACTAATACATAATTTGGGGGTGGAGTCAACAAGGAGCCATTGACATGTTGAGCAATGACCCTTGCACAAGAGACTTCCAGATCACTAACAGTTAATCCATTCAAACAGAATGATGAGTACCAAGGGTGAAAGTCTCCCAACTTTTTTTTGACATCATTTACTCAATGTTTTGACAAAAAAGCTACACATTAGAAATTACAATAAAAACTTAAAAATCACAATTTTCAGAGTAAAAATGTACTCCATCCATTCCATTATTCCAACATAGTTGTCATGTTTCGCTTCTCAAAAGTCAATTTGACTAATTATCAAAGCTATAGATTAGATTAGATTAATTCAATATTTTAAAGTTAAAATTTAAATATTCAAAAACTATACAAAAAATACTATAAATTGCAAATTTTTCTTCTATCAATATGGCTCTTAAAAAGGAAATTGTGACAAGTATTTTGGAACGGAGGTGTTTATATATATATATTTATTTATGAACAATCTGTTATCTTAAGATATTTTTCATGAAAATATATACATCTTCTACTAATAAAGAGGAGAAGAAAAACAGGCAGACACACAGTCTTTATTGAGTTTTCTAGTGGCTTTCTGTCTCACTCATCTCAAGTAACTCAATCCAAGAAAGAGACACCACTAATAGAATAAGCCATTTCCAAAGAAGACCAAAGACTTAATTGGGCCAAAAAAAAAGAAGCAATCTTTACCAGTTACAATTATGATCAAACAGCTCACGTCTTCACCAACCGCCTTCATATGACAATTCTAACAACAATTACTTCTCGATCTCAAACTAGTTGTGATCGCGAATTCAATTTTGAATCGAAAAGATAAAGATAGATAAGATACCTTTGATTTTGATTGCCTTCATGTGTAAATCCAAGAAGAAATTAACCACTCAAGTTATGGAACCGAAACAGAAACCAAGAAGATCTTCTTCTTCACAATCACCTGCGGCTGCAAAAAAGTTGTCGTCTTTGAATGATCATGATCATCAGTTGTCGTTATCTACAAGCCAGAATTTGATATCCCCAAATGGTTCAACAGAGAGTTTCATACTCAATTTGAAAAACTCACAATCATGGGCTTCGTCAAAATCAAGTCATCACTCATTAACAAGCCTTAAAGGAGTACTATTTCCAGAACAACCTCATATATACAATTTCACAGAAATTCGTTCAGCTACCCAGAATTTCTTAAAGGATCCATTTTCGTCTTCATCTACATCGACTTCGTGGCGTTGTGTTCTTCGTGGTCAAGAGATGGTTGTAATACAGAGAAAATTCCGACGACCTATGGAAACTGATGAGCTTGTGGATCAAGTAGCAATGATTTGCAGAAGTCACCATTCTAGCTTAATTCCACTAAAAGGAGCTTCAGTTTCTGGAAATTATATATATTTGGTGTATGAATATACACAAGGAGTTAATCTATCGGAAGCTTTGAGGAATCGAAGAAACCCTAATTTTACTGTTCTTTCGAATTGGATATCAAGGATTCAAATTGCTTCGGATATAGCTCATGGTTTGGATTACATTCATCATTCAACTGGGTTAGGTTTAGGATTTGTACATAATCACATCAAAAGCACAAGTATTATTGTTACTGAACCTTCGTTTCATGCGAAGATCTGTCATTTCGGTACGGCGGAGCTTTGCGGGGAAACTCCGAGTGAAATCCAGGATTCGGATAGTGAAATCAAGCCGAAGAAATCACCGGAATTGAAGAAATGTGGAAGTAAAGGTTTGAAGTTTGAAGGTACGAGAGGATATATGGCGCCGGAGTTTCAGTGGACGGGAATGGCGACGGTGAAGAGTGACGTGTATGCTTTTGGGGTGGTGGTTTTGGAGTTGATTTCCGGGAAGGAGGCAGTGAAGTACGAATTTGATGAGGAGACTGGTGGATATGTTAGGGTTTCGGTGATCGAGACGGCGGTGAAAGCGTCGGAGGACGGCGGTGTAGGGGTGAGGGGGTGGGTGGATAAGCGGTTGAAGGATTCGTACCCGGTGGAGGTGGCGGAGAAATTGGTTCGGATCGGGTTGGAATGTGTGGAGACTAACCCGAATAACAGGCCGGATATGGGTCGGGTTGCGGGTCGGGTTTCTCAAATGTATTTGGAATCAAAGACTTGGGCCGAGAAGTTTGCTCCGCTTACTGACTTTACTGTTTCTTTAGCACCTCGTTGATTATTTTTAGTATTTTTTTTCCAATTTTTTCTAATACAAATTTTGGGATTAATCATACATTTTGTAAATGAAACATAGAATTTTTAGAAAAATTATAGTGTAAAGTTGATATCTTTCTTCTTTTACTTATTCGAAGTAATCTGACTTTGACTGAGATGTCTTCTTTGACTAAACGATATAGGGTATATTGACTATATTTCATTATCATAGCAAGATAATAAAAATGTTAATCGCGAATACAAGGAGAAAATTGTACTCGATAAATTAGTCAAAGTACATACAAACTACGATACTATCATTATTTCCCCACTTAGTTACTACATAATTAGAATTTCATTTCAAGCAAAGAGTTCATGGATCTGTCACCAATCTTCTGGCTAAAGAACACATATGAAGAAAGGAAGGCATCTTCATGGCCTTGACATTATATTATAAGGTAAAAAAATAATAATTCAAATACATAATAACACAACAAATGTGATTTTCTCACTACAATAAATTCATTGCATTATGAGATTCATACTCTGAACTTTCAGTGTTGGACTGTCTAAAGGCAGTATTATACCCATACATATCGAAATGCCTATTATCCGATATCATATGTCCACCCTCTCTCCCTTGAAAACTCTCCATCGGTGGAACCCAAGGGCCTGTGTTGGGGTTGTTAGAGCTAGAGGCTTCTTGGTTCACGTTTTGCGAATTATTATTATTCTGGGGTGAGTTACCGGCTGGCCTCTTGTTGGAAGAGTTTGTTGTCATCACAGATATAGATGCTGTCTGTTGCTGCTGATTCTTCATTGGTGACTTGGGCCGAAGAGACTCTATTTCAGGTGTTGTAATAACAAGATGTGGGGCGCCTGGTGGTGGATTCCTTCCTCCCCCACCCTGCCAGACTTTACCATCCCTATCGGCAAAATTCCGCACATAGGTCTGAAGTTTGGCAAAGTTTTTAGTCAGCATTATAAGACACAAATTCATAACGAAGGTAGCATTATACATGCAAAAGTAAACTATTTAAGGGGTCGTTTGGTAGAGTGTATTAGGAAAAATAATGCATGCATTAGCATTGTGTATTACTAATACTTTGTTTGGTACTCTTTTCCAACCTATGTATAACTAATGCTTGCATTAGTTATACACTCTATTGTGTATTAAGGTGTATATTGCTAATGCCATGGATTTCTAGGTATTAGCAATGCAATGGTTTTAATGCATGCATTAGATTAACTAATGACAAAACTACCCTCTATTATTATTATTATAATAATTATTCTTACTATAATAATAATAATTATAATAAATATAATAAGAATAATTATAATAATATTAATTATAATAATAATAATAGAGGGTAGTTTTGTCATTAGTTAATCTAATGCATGCATTAAAACCATTGCATTGCTAATACCTAGAAATCCATGGCATTAGCAATATACACCTTAATACACAATAGAGTGTATAACTAATGCAAGCATTAGTTATACATAGGTTGGAAAAGAGTACCAAACAAAGTATTAGTAATACACAATGCTAATGCATGCATTATTTTTCCTAATACACTCTACCAAACGACCCCTAAGTGTACAAAATAGGCCAAGCTTTTGATCTTCAAACAAGCGTGGGAATGAGGTTAGAATTACCATCTTTCTTTCCTAATAAAGACAACATATTCAAGTGATACAATTGAGAGAACACAAAGAGACAATGAATACGACAGAATAACTAAGCACGTCCAATGATATTTCTATTTTCTCTTCCCCACCCCACACCCACCCTTAAAAAAACAAATTTGAGAGATTTATTTGGGAGTGTGGGGGTGAGAAGACAGAGCAGCTATGTCCTTGCCATGTCTACAAGGTAATAAAATCAACAAACTAAAAGGTTAGCTAAAATTTTACCTCTGCACTGAAGTTCGATGAAGATAATCCTTTACCAACAGTCAACCAGCCAGATCGAATATTATGGTCTTCACCAAAGAGCTCAAGCCTTCTCCGGCCAAGCGCAAAATGTTCAATTATACGGTACATATCTTCAGGCTTTACAGTTGATCCTGCATATGGTGACCGATAGCAATACAAAATAAGCTAAGCCACTACACATATTCAGTACAGAGAGACAACACAGCATACCACGCATATTCAGTACAGAGAGACAACACAGCATATTATGTTAAAATACCATTAATTGTAAGACAGAATATAAATTAGCAGAGAGAATACAGGATGATACAAGATTACGTGCAATGGCGGAGCCATGAATTTTACTAACGGGAGTCAAATTATAAAGAAATAACCACATGAAGAATTCAAAGGGATTCAACATGTAGTTTATATACATAAAAAAAAATTACCTATCTAAACAGTATAAATTCCAGCAAAGGGGTGTAAAGTGACACCCCTTTGGACAAGGCATCTACGCCACTGATTACGTGCATTTCATGCATCAAAGGATAGTGTTGCAACTTCGAAACGTTCTCCCACAGACAGCAATAGCTGTTACATAACTTGGGAATAGCAGACCAATGAAGGACTACCATAACTTGAACTATGAGAGGAGAAAATTGAAGATTTTGTTCAAAACCAGTTCATACAGAATTCTGGTAAAAGCTGAGGTTAACTGAAAAGCATATCCAACACCAAAACCAGCTGGAAATTACACAGAACGCCAAAAAGAAAAAGTGAAAAGAGCAATTCATAAGACAGAATCTCCACCTCATCTGTCTCCCACCCTTCACCCCAGGTAAAGGAGTTTGTTCTTCTCATTTTGTGAGTAAGCCAAATGAGAAGAAAACCCCAAAAGGTAAAGGAAAAAAAGCATCATTTGAAGACAGGGAAAATCCATCAACCTCAAAAAGGACAGTTTTCCTTGTAAGACTCAAAGAAACACTTTTTTTTTATTTCACAACATTATTATCGTTAATTACAAACAACTATATGTGTGTGTGTATCACTTGAGAGAAATCCATATTTTCGAATTAGTGCTGTTAGATCAGCCTCAGTAGCTTCTATCAAGTATCTTACTCACATAGGAACACAAACAATTGGAAAGTGGATGAGAAAAAGCAACATGCTGTCAGTGTCTGCAACCCTATATTTCATGATTAACATTTCTAATCTGCACAAGAGAACATAAACCACACACAGCATTGTCTGGAATGAAAAAGAATCTACCATAAGGAGGTTCCTCAGCAATAATCACATCTGTGTCAATATTTGCATGAATTATATGCCCATCGGTACTACGACGAACAGTTCCTTTTATGCCCAAAAGGCAGTGTTCCTATGTCATGACAGGGACAAGCAGAATGTAAGTTATATATGATGGAAAATACACATATGGGGAAATGAGAGGGCATAATGTTAAAAACCTTTGTATGCTGAAATAAAGTATGGGAATCATGCCGTAATCCTGGAGTTGCATTGGTTTTGTTTGTTTTCACCCAACATATGTCCTCACATCTGCGGAATCCCCACTGCAGAATGGAGAGAACAATATTTAAAAATAATCACAATGACCTAATATTGAAAACTGCAACCAATAGATGCATGTGATTGTGATTGTGCTCATCTGTGGTGCAGCAGCAGAAGGAAGATATCAAAAGCAGCAATCAGCAGATTCATGACCATAGAGTGTTTCTCAGATTGGTTGAACTACATACCTTCTTCAAACATTGCCGTCCTTGCTCAAGCCCCACACCATCACCAACCCAAAGAAAAACAAATGATGGAGTGTCAGCAATTGCCTGAGAATAGACAGTTCACACCATCTTTAGTCCCGGAAAGGAGAATCTAACAGGTCTGAGTGACAAACCAACAATTATGCAGACATTTAATCTCTCTCTCTCTCTCTCTCTCTCTCTCTCTCTATATATATATATATATATATATATATATAGTTTACATACTACATGAAGGTAGTATGTTAGCAAGATACCCATTTTTGCTTTACCCAAAATACCCTTAATAGCTTATCGGATTGGTACATATTAATATATGAGGTTTTTTGGTCTTTTTATAAATATAATAAACCCAACATATCTGATACTCCATTTTCCCGTGTCTCTCTTGACTTTTGAGTCTCTCCCTTTGTCTATCCTCCTCTTCTTTCCCCACCCTCTCTGCCATTTCCAGTTTCATCTTCAATGTCAAATTAAAGGTACCATGGCCATAATTTCTAATAACTATAAAGTGTTCTTCAGTTTCCATACCTAGATCTTTTTGACTAAATCCCATATTATCTTCTTTTGTATTTTGTTTTAGATATTTCGGGCCAATCTTGGAAAAATACACTACAACATCAATGGAGTTACACATGTGATCAATCGCCTCTTTAGCTTTAAGGAGCTTATCATGCATTTTTGCAACTTATACACCAGCAAGATTATAAAGCTCCTTTTTCTTACCAAAAGACATTACGATTATTTATTTTCTGCGGAAAGTGAGTTCAGTTTTTGGGTTTAGTGTCAATGGAACTTCTTGTGGAGGATTTATAGATGATTACAAAATTAGATCTGCCGAAATTGGTTTAAGTTGAAAGAATACTGGTTTAATGGTTGGAAGAATCTCAATTTAAAGACATAATTAACAATCCATCAATAAAAAAATTGAAGCTACGGAAATGGGTAGAAATCCGTAAAAAGAGAGCTTGCAGCAAAGGAAATTAAAGTTGGCTACTTTTCCTTGTTCAAACGCTGGGTGTAATGGTGAAGAGCATTGAATAACCTAAAAGACAGAAAATCCATTTAGCTCATTTGCTGCTAGTGTGTTATTAAGGACATTTTAGGAAATTAAAAAAATGGGTATCTTGCTAATATACTTCCTCCGTGTAGTATGCTACGGCATAACAATACAAGTAAAAATAAGAGTAGATAATAACAACGAACAAGTTTTGCACCTGAGGTTCACTGCATCCTACTCTAAAGCAACAGTTAAAGTATCAAGAGTAAAGAACCAGGCTGACATGCAAAAGTCATACCTCAATTTTGAGATTCATTATTTCCTCAAACGTCCAGTACTCCATATGGTCAGTGACACCAGGAGCTCGATGAACATATTCCTCCCATGGGGGGTCTATTAGAATGACATCAAATTTGGTCCCAAAAAAATCCGGTGACAGCTCATGCTCAAGCAGGTCGCATTTGAAATACATGGGAGGCGAAGAAGAATTGACAACAATCTCATCCTTCCTTTGAATAAGTTCTCGAAGCTTGGGATAGTCCTCAACAACACTGGTAAGTTCTAGTTCCCTGATAAAATTTTGAGGCCTCGTGCCAGTGTCTACAAAATTTTGGGAGTAGTCATTCTGCTCACCCCTAGAAGGAGCTTTGCCAGGTGGGGCATTAGTTCGATGAGGCACCCAGCCAGCATTAGCTTTATCTTTAACCTGTCCATGACCTCCTGGTATTAGGCCATTAAAATTTGGACCAGACATATTTGGCGGTGTCCCTCTTCCAGGGCCAGATTGATTAAAATACATTGGATTCCCCAAATTAGGAGGGAATCCAGTCCCAGGAAGCACAGGTGAGAGTCCAGGTGGAACACCTAGCATATTCATCTCAAGACCTCGGGCTCCAGGCCAAACCACAGGAGGTGAAAATGGAGGAATGAAAACACCAGGAGCCATTGGAGGACCTGGAGCAGGTGACATGTTAGGAGCTAAAGACTGCAAAGATCCAGGTGATGGCATTCCAAGTGGTCCAAAAGGTGATCCCATCATTGGCATTGGAGGTCCAAACTGGTGGCCATCTCTTCCTGTGGGCCTCCCTCTTCCTCCTCTCCCAACCCTACTTCCTTTAGAACCCATTGGAACATCTCTATTGAAGGAAGATGGTTCCTGGTTTCCATATGGAGGTTCTGAACCACTATTGGAAGTTTGGCCGAAGGCAGCTCGAACAGATGCATCTCCTTTCTGGGGCCTTGATTCAGTCTCATCCCTATATGAACCATCACCTGATGTATTCTTTATATCTTGAGCAGATTGGCCTGACCAATTCATGTTTCTTCCCCTGTCATCCCTAGGAAAGGCATAGTTCTCATCATCTGGAACTGATTTTGCATCAGAACTCTGATTAACTTCAGTTGTTCTTGCTGCTGAAGATATGGCCTCCTCCCTACCATAGTCAAATGGCCTGGTTTGGATCTCTATGACATCATAATTGTCATTTGAAATTCCATATTTCGATGAAGTTTTCAAGGCTTCAGTCCTATTTCCATCTTTTCTACCACCAGAACGAGGCCTTTCATTGTCAATCCACCCACGTCGGGGCATTTCCCACTCTCTTCCATGTTCATAAGGTGTCTCACCTTCTTTTATTTCCTTGTCAACAAAGTTCCCTTGCCTTCTTTTCCACCCATCTTTGGACCCATCCCTAACTCTGTTTCTATCGCTCCTGCCATCATCCCTTCCTTTTGATTTATCATCTCTCGCACCATCTTTTTCTTGTTCTTTCCTCCTGAAAGTATCTCTTTTTTCATATTCCATCTCAACGCTTTCTAAATCGTAATGGCGTCTTCCACCCTTCTCAGGTGTCCTGGGCCTATCAGAGGAGTCCAACTCTCTCCTAGTTCTCTCTCGCACCCGTGAGCCACCGTCATCACCTGCGACCGCAGACCTTTCACGGCTTTCCGCAATGTCATGACTTGTGGCACCTTTTAGCTGTCTATGCTCCTCAAATCTCTCTATGCTCAATTTATCGTCCCGTATAGAAAATGCTCCTCCTCTGTCTTCCTCTATAGCATACGACCTGCCTTTCTTAATCCTATCATAGTCAATTTTTCTCTCGTCACTTTCTGGGTATTTACCATTCTTGTCTCTATTTGACTCTTTAAGGCTATCTAACAACACATGACCCTTTTCTGTGGTACTGTCCTTTCTTTCCAAATGTCTAGAATCCCTTTCCAGTGCATTTCCAGAGTCCCCACCATGTAGCTTCTCATTATTACCTTTATTTCTTGTCTGGGAACCATCACCATCAGAAAACCTGGAAGTTGATTTCCTTCTGACACCATCATTAGCTAGGATTTGTCCTCTATCCCCTGTTTTATCTCCATTATCATACTTGCCCCCAAGTTCTCCATCCTGATACCAATTGCTCAATGTCTCCAATGTATTCTCACCGTGTTTCTTCTTTGTCAATTTGGACCGCAAGTCGTTTTCAGCCTCATAGTCATCCTCACCAATATCAGCTTTGCTTGATCCTCCTGATCTTTTCCGACTCTCATTTCTTTCCAATGTACTTCTCCTTCTTTCATTACTATCTAAACCTTCAGCTTCTTCACTGTTGCCAGGCCTTGACTTACTTGACCTGTATTTTCTCTTATCATCCCCTTCCCAGTCATCGTCAAACTTTAAGTCTAGGTCATCCTGTTTCAGATAACTCCTTCGTCGTTCAGGGGAAGCCATCAACAGAAATTACCCTCACTAGATGATTCTCAGCACTTCATTGAATGATGCAATACCAGATAGCCTCCTGAGAGATAGAGAGAAATGGAGAAAATGATTGATGAGCTGACCTTACTGTGAATCTAAATTCAGGCAACAATTCATGATATAAGACACAGACAAAATATTGTAATTATAAGAGACAATGAGGTACCATGGGAGAGAGAAATACAGAGAATAAACTATGCAGGTTAAACAGGAGTTTCATTCCAATAGTTTCAACTCAATGATGCTAAATACTATTTTGAACCCACCACAATCTTCCTCTGAGTGGAACCAGCAATATGTTTCACATGGTCAAGCACCATTTTCGACAAAAGAACAGAGCACAGAAAAAAGATTGATAACCGCCACCTTATTCCATTTAGGTCACACATACGCTTCCAATAAACTTGCACCAAATTTTTTTTATTAGACTGGAAAAAATGTTTTTCAAAAAAGTACTTCTAGAATTTGGCAGTTTGTGTTTGACTAATCAATTTGCAAAAACACTTTTGCCTTAGAGCAGTAACTTGTGTTTGGCCAAGGTTCCAAAAGTGTTCCCTTTTTCAGCTTTTGAGTAACAACTTCTGCTACTGCTCAAAAATACTTAGGCTTGGCCAAATACCTCAACTATCTAAGATAATCACTACCATTTTTGGCTTCCCAAAAGCTTAGCTAATCAGGCTATTAACAATCACTACCTAATTATAATTCAATCAATCAGTTCCAAACTAAACACCACAAACTAAAAGTTCAATAATCTTTCGGAAACTCATGTATATCTTTGTATGAAGACTTAAGGACTCAAATAACAGAAAACACAAGCATATTCCGAATATTTAGAATTTACACTGAGAAACAGAAGAAGTAGAGCACCTTCCGATGCCGGCGGATTCGGTGGCGAGTGATCTCCGGTGATCAATTCACGGCGTCGTCGTAGAAATATGGAGGAGGTATGTGGAAGCAAAGGGAAGATAAAGGAAATCGGGTTTAAAGTATTATGGATCCGAACCTCGATGGATCAAAGGAAAATTGACCCGATCAACTTTGACATAATGAATACGTAATTTATTATTTTTTACTAATCGGATTCATGTTTAATTTCATCAAGATTGAAAAATATTTATTTGAATTTAGTTTTAATTTAGGAGGTTTAAAAGAGAAAAGGAATATTTGTGACCCTCTTTAGTCTTAAACTAAAAAATATATATTACTCTCCAATACTGAGTTTAAAAAAAAGTAAATAAGAGATATGTAGAGTAGAATGAATGTATCAAATACTCTTTGATCTTGTGAAAAATTAAAACTAAAGAATTGACAAAAAAGAAAAGAAATGCTACTTTTTAAACAAACTAACAAAGAAAATAAAACAAAAGAAATATATAGATTATATAAAAATATCTTTTTAATTTTATAATCTTGATACGAAAAGTTGAAATTCAAGAGTAGTCAAAAAAAGAGGCAAACTTTTTTAAACAGAATAAAACAAAAAGCAAGACAAACAAATAAAAAACCGAAGCAGTATAATTTTTTATTGTTAGTTGTGTTTAGTTCTTTTGTATAATAAGAAAGATAAAATAGGACAAATGTACTACATTTGAGAAACCCAAATAAAATTTGGAGATAGTAGGAGCTAAGAGCAAGACAAATATCAAGTAGGTTGAACAACAGAAGATCCTCAATTATCCATTGATGAAGAATATATATACTCAATTCTCTACTGAATCATCAACAGATTAAAGAAATGAAGACGTCTTCATGACCACAATATCGTAACGTAAAAAAGAACTGTTCACGGCGCGGAGAATGTGGTTTTGTCACTACAAGAATTCAGAGTTTGTCTGTCTAAAGGCTGCATTATACCCATACATATCGAAAAGCCTATTATCTGAAATCATATGTCCATCCTCTCTCCCAGGAAAAATCTCCATTGGAGGAGCCCAAGGACCTGAATTCGGGTTGTTAGAGCTAGAGGTTTCTTGATTCACATTTTGTGAATTAGTATTATTTTGGGGTGAGTTCCCGGTTGCCCTCTTGTTGGATGAGTTGTTTGTTGTCATAGATATAGATGCTGACTGATGCTGCTGATTCTTCATTGGCGACTTGGGACGAAGAGCCTCTATTTCAGGTGTCGTAACAACAAGATGTGGGGCATCTGGTGGTGGATTCCTCCCTCCCCCACCCTGCCACACTTTCCCATCTCTATCAGCAAAATTCCGCACATAGGCCTGAAATTTTTCAAAATCTACAGTAAGTAACGAAGACAGCATAATACACACACACTAAATTATTTCAGTGTACAAGATTAAGCCAATCTTTTGATCTTCAGACATATTTGGGGAAGAGATCACAAATCACCAATCTTTGTTTCCAAATGAAGACAACTATTGAAATATACCATTGAGAGAACACAAAGGAAAATGAATAGGACAGAATAACTAAGCAGGTCTGATGCATACTGAGAAGAGCAGGAATCTGCCGACAAAATGCATGTTATTTCTTTCTCCCCCTCCCCAAACCCCTACCTGAGTTATTTTGGGTGATTAGGGGGGGTGAAAGACAGAGCAACTATATACTCTCCATGTCTCATAAATAAAATGAACTAAAGGAAGGGTAACTAAAAGTTTACCTCTGCACTGAAATTCGATGAAGATAATCCATTACCAACAGTCAGCCAGCCAGATCGAATATTATGATCTTCACCAAAGAGCTCAAGCCTTCTCCGGCCAAGTGCAAAATGCTCAATTATACGGTACATATCTTCAGGCTTTGCACTTGATCCTGCATAAGGGGACCAGTAGCAATTCAAAGAGCTCAGCCATTGTGCATACCCAGTGCAGAGAGACAATGCAGCATATTACGTTAAAATTTCGTTCATTTTAGGACAGAATCCAAATTACGTGCAGTTCATGAATCACATGATAGTTTAACTTCTAAACTTTCTCCAGCAGAAGCAATAGCTGTTACATAACTTGGAAATAACAAACCAATCAAGGACTACCATAACTTGAACCTAAGTTGCTCAGACTCGGGTTGCGGGTGTCTGATATAGGTGTGGATCTAGAGGTCAGATCCTTCGTGTTCTTAATTTTAAGATTCGGGGGTACGAATCCAGGTATGGATACAGGTGCTCAGATTCAGCTAAAAATAATTCAAATATCCAAAAAAAGAATTATATGTCTAAATTATAAGACATTATTTTGAAAACTTACAAGGTATTTCAAAGAGAAATTATTGATCAAGAGGAGGATCCCGAAAGAGATAAAAGGAAAAGGACTGACATCGAAATTTCTACTAACAAGTTATTCCATTTTCTTCAATTTCACCTTAGTTTTTGTTTTGATTACAAAAATCATAGGTATTTATTCCGAATTTCTCCGTCAATTTTGGTCAAAGTACCAAAATCAGTTGACCAAATCCGGTATGGATCCCACACCCACATCGTAGCGACACGGATGTGGCACCGAAAGTGAAGAGTCCAAGCAACTTAGACTTGAACGACAGGAGAAGAAAACTGAGGGATCATTTAGTTATGAGGATGAAGGATAATAATTCCGGAATAAAATGTGGCTTATTATTCCGGGTTTTGTTGAATTTTTAATTTCGGGATTGGTAATTCTATGTTTATTTATACCACAATTGCTGTATTATTTTACACCACATTCAATGTGGAAAAACAATAATCCAGGGATAAAACAACAACATGACACATTTGCCCTTCTCCAAAGCTCTTCTTCCAAAGTCTTTCAAGAAAGCCAAGGTTAAAATTGAAAATAAAAGTTTATTCAATGTTATCTAGTGTGAAACCGAACACATTTATTATGCCCCATATATCCTATTTCTAGACCAATGAACCAAATATCTACCAATTAAATTTATATCCACTAAATAATCTTGTTCACATACCAAACAACCACAAAAGGCTCTATTCAAGATGTGTTCATACAGAATTCTGGTAAAAGTCCAGGTTTCAACTGAAAGGCATATCCAACACCAAAACGGGACCGAAAGCATAAAGAAAGCCCAAAAAAATAGTGAAAGGAGCAATTCATAAGACAGAATCCCCACTCCATCAGTCTCTCAGCCTTCACCCACCCAGGGAATGGTAATTGTCCTCGTTTTATGAGCAAACCAAACAAGGAGGAGAAAACTGAAGATGGCTGGTTCTTATGGCTGAATTAGGGGCTTTTAGGTGGATAGCAGGAATGAGGGAGTGGAGATTCCTCCGCTACTCTCTGCTGATGATACACTGGTCTTTTGTGATGCCAAATTGAGCAATTATTCAGGTGTTGGCTGGTGTTCTGGGATGTGATGCAAGGATATTTATTACCTACGACAAATTTGGGACTGTCTTTGGGGGCAAAGAATAGGTCTATGCACATATGCAATGGGGGGATTGATAAATGTGATAAAGAGGTTGACAAGATGGAAGGCACAATATTTATCCTTGGGAGACAGGGTCACATAATGATTAGTAATGCGTTTCCCACTTATATTATGTAAACCCACACCCCGCTAAGGTGGAGAAAGATTGGATTACTTGAGAAGAAACTTTCTTTGACAAAGTAACAAGGGAACTCATTTAGTTAGGTGGAAATCTGTCTCATCCAGTAAAATGTTAGGGGATTTGGGGATCAGAAACTTCATATTACAAAACCAAGTTTATTATGTAAGTGGTTATGGAGAATTGATTCTTGAGCTGAGGGTCTCTTGGAAACAGCCTCTCTACCTCCACGAGGTAGTGGCAAGGTCTGCGTACTACTTACCCTCCCCAGACCCCACCTAGTGGGATTTCACTGGGTTGTTGTTGTTGTTGTTGTTGTTGTTGTTATGGAGAATTGATATAGACCACAATGCCTTATAGATGTTAGAACTTTTATTTTATAGGTCCTATGCATTCTAGGAGTGGTTTAGCCTTTCGGAGATCTATACATATAGAAGATATATAGAGCTTCTGATAAGTTCTCATTTTCATAGTATTGGCATGAGATGAGTTTAAATGAAGGTGCGGGGTCGGTGAGGATTCATAATTTCATATAATCAACCCCAACCCCAACTTGTTTGGGACTGAAGCATAATTGTTATTGTTGTTGTTGTTATTGCCATAGGTCAGTAGCTCTATCAGTATCTTACTTCTATAGGAGAACAAACAATTGGAAAGTGGATGACAGAAGCAACATGCAGTCAGTTTCTGCGACCCATATTTCATGATTAACATTTCTACTCTGCACAAAGCAAACATAAAATGCACACACAGCATTGTCTGGAATGAGAAAGAATCTACCATAAGGAGGTTCCTCAGCAATAATCACATCTGTGTCAATATTCGCATGAATTATATGGCCATCGGTACTACGACGAACAGTTCCTTTTATGCCCAAAAGGCAGTGCTCCTATACCATGACAGTGAACAGCAGAACGTAAGTTCCATATGATGGAAAACTACCAAGCATGGTGAAATGAGTGAACAGGATATAAACCTTTGTATGCTGCAATAAAGTATGGGAATCATGACGCAATCCTGGAGTTGCAGTGGTCTTATTTGTTTTCACCCAACATATGTCCTCACATCTGCGGAATCCCCACTGCAGAATGGAGAGAACAATGTTTAGAAATAATTACAATGACCTAATATTGAAAACAGCAACCAACAGATGCATCTAGTTGTGATTGTGCTCATCTGTGGCAGTAGCAGAAGGAAGATATCAAAAGCAGCAATCAGCAGATTCATGACCATAGAGTACAACAACAACATACCAAGTGTAATCCCACAAGTGGGGAAGGTAGAGAGTTTGTTACCGATAAGACATTCATGAACATAGAGTATTTCTCAAATTGTTTAAACTACATACCTTCTTCAGACATTGGCGCCCTTGCTCAAGCCCCACGCCATCACCAACCCAAAGGAAAACAAATGATGGAGTGTCAGCAATTGCCTGAGAATAGACAGTTTACACCATCTTTAGGCTCAGAAAGGAGAAGCTGACAGGACAGAGTAAAGAACCAACTACTCTGTAGCCATTTTAAAAAAAATAGAAGTACAACTGTATAAGTCAAAGTAAAAGTTGCTAATAACACAACATTTTTTGCACACGAGGTTCTCCACCAGCCTACTCCAAAGCAACAGTAAAAATATTTAGAGTAAAGAACCAGGTTGACATGCAAAAGTCATACCTCAATTTTGAGATTCATTATTTCCTCAAATGTCCAGTATGCCATATGGTCAGTGACACCAGGAGCTCGATGAACATATTCCTCCCATGGGGGGTCAATTAGAATGACATCAAATTTGGTCCCAAATAACTCTGGGGAGAGCTCCTGCTCATGTAGGTCACATTTGTAATACATGGGAGATGAAGAAGATTTGACAACAATCTCATCCTTCCTTTGAATAAGTTCTCGAAGCTTGGGATAGTCCTCAATAACACTGGTAAGCTCTAATTCCCTGATGAAATTTTGAGGCCTCGTGCCAGTGTCTACAAAATTTTGGGAATAATCATTCTGCTCACCCCTAGAAGGAGCTTTTCCAGGTGGCGCATTAGCTCGAGAAGGCACCCAACCTGCATTAGCTTTATCTTTAACCTGTCCACGACCTCCTGGTATTAGTGCATTAAAATTTGGACCAGACATGTTAGGTGGTGTTCCTCTTCCAGGACCTAGTTGATTAAAATACATTGCATGATTTGGCAGATTCCCCAAATTAGGGGGAAATCCAGGTCCAGACAGAACAGGTGGAAGTCCAGGTGGAACACCTAGCATATTCATCTCAACACCTCGGCCTCCAGGCCAAACCAGAGGAGACGAAAATGGAGGAATGAAAGGGGACATAGGTGGACCTGGAGCAGGTGACATGTTAGGAGCTAAAGATTGCACAGATCCAGGCGACGGCATTCCAAGTGGTCCAAAAGGTGATCCCATCATTGGCATTGGAGGTCCGAATTGGTGGCCATCCCTTCCTGTAGGCCTCCCTCTTCCTCCTCTCCCAACCCTACCTCCTTTAGAACCTATTGGGACAGATCTATTGAAGGAAGACGGTTCCTGGTTTACATATGAAGGTTCTGAACTGGAAGGTTGGCCCCAGGCAGCTCGAATAGATGCATCTCCTTTCTGACCCCTTGCTTCAATCTCATCCTTATTTGAACTGTCACCTGACGTATCCCTTAAATCTGGACCAGATTGGCCTGACCAATTCATGTTTCTTCCCCTGCCTTCCCTGGCATAGTTCTCATCATCTGGAAGTGATTTTGCATCAGAACTCTGATTAACTTCAGTTGTTCTTGCTGCAGAAGATATGGCCTCCTCCCTACCATAGTCAAATGGCCTGGTTTGGATCTCTATGACATCATAATTGTCATTTGAAATTCCATATTTCGATGAAGTTTTCAAGGCTTCAGTCCTATTTCCATCTTTTCTACCACCAGAACGAGGCCTTTCATTGTCAATCCAACCACGTCTGGGTATTTCCCACTCTCTGCCATGTTCGTAAGGTGTCTCGCCTTCCTTCATTTCCTTGTCAACAAAGTTCCCTTGCCTTCTTTTCCACCCATCTTTGGAACCATCCCGAACTCTGTTTCTATCACTCCTGCCGTCATCCCTTCCTTTTGATTTATCATCTCTCACACCATCTTTTTCTTGTTCTTTCCTCCTGAAGGTATCTCGTTTTTCATATTCCATCTCAACGCTTTCTGAGTCGTAACGGCGCCTTCCACTTCTCTCAGGTGTTCTGGACCTATCAGAGGAATCCATCTCTCTCCTATTTCTTTCTCGCACCAATGAGCCACCGTCATCACCTGCTACCATAGACCTTTCATGACTTTCAGCCGTGTGATGACTTGTGGCACTTTTTATCTGTCTATGCTCCTCAACTCTCTCTATGCTCAACTTATCTTCTTGTATAGAAGATGTTCCACCACTGTCTTCCTCTATAGCATACAACCTGACTTTCTTACTCCTGTCAGAGTCAGTTTTTGTCTCGCCACTTTCCAGGTATTTATTATTTTTGTCTCCATTTGAATTTTTAAGGCTATCCAACTGCACATTCTCCTTTTCTTTGGTGCTATCCTTCCTTTCCAAACGTCTAGAGTCCCTTTCCATTGCATTTTCAGAATCCCCACCAAGTAGCTTTTCATTTTTACCTTGATTCCTTGTCTGGGAACCATCACCATCAGAAAACCTTGAAGTTGATTTCCTTCGAACACTCTCATTAGCTAGGAATTGTCCTCTATCCCCAGTTCTGTCTCCATTATCATACTTTCCCCCAAGTTCTCCATCCCGATACCAATTGCTCAACGTCTCCAATGTATTCTCCCCCTGCTTCTTCTTCATCAATTTGGACCGCAAGTCGTTTCCCTCATAGTCATCCTCATCAATATCCGTTTTGCTTGATCCACCTGATCTTTTCCGACTCTCATTTCTGTCTACAGTACTTCTCCTTCTTCCATTACTATCTAAACCTTCAGCTTCTTCACTGTTGCCAGACCTTGAATTACTTGACCTGTATTTTCTCTTATCATCCCCTTCCCAGTCATCGTCCAACTTTAAGTCTGGGTCATCCTGTTTCAGATAACTCCTTACTCGTTCAGGGGAAGTCATCAAGAGAGAAAACCCACGCTAGATTATTCTCAGCACTTCATTGAATGAATGCAATACGAGACAGCAGCCTGAGAGATGAAGAGAAATTGGAGAAAATGATTAGTGAGATAGCCTTTTAGTGAATTTACATTGAAGAAATAATTCATAATGTAAGAGACAGACTAAATCTAGTAAGCATAAGAGGACAATCAGGTACCATGGGAGGGAGAAATATGGGGAATAAAATATGCAGGAGTCTCATTCCAACAGCAACAACTCAATGACCCTAGTTACTTTTTTTAATACTACCACAACCCTCCTCTGAACGGAACCAGCAATGTGTAGCTCAAATAGGTGAGTTCTTTTATAGGAAACGTCCCCTAGAGACTTACTGATTAGAACAATACATAAACCTATTAAATAGTGGCTAATAGAGCCCTAATAATATCCACTAGTAAAAGAACATCTATCAATGATCATGTATTTATGGATAGCTATACAACAGCACAAATGTTAACATCCCACGAACATAAGCTACCTCTACAGATATTCTGGATTAGAAGTGACAGCATAGAGAGAGTCGACATCAATTTCAAGCATTTACAGAAGATTATCTTCAAAGTTGTTATAAAAGACGATGCTTCAGCAAGCAGAAGTTTTCAAAAATGTGCAATCAGAAACATGGATATGAAGCAAAATACAGGCATCAATTGCCTCAAGAGTGATGCATGATCTTAGTGATTCCGCATCTAAGACAAATAACCCATCCCGGACGTATAATCCCACTAGTGGGATTTGGGGAGGATAGTGTGTACACACACATTAGAGAGGTTGTTTCCGATAGACCTCGGCACTAGAAACTTTGGATAATTAGAAATACACTAACAGCATAGGTGAGTTCACAAACCATAAAATCCATACATTAATGTTCAAGCACCATATTTCACAAATGAGCAAAGCACAAAAAAGATAGATAACCTCCACCGTATTTCACTTCAGTCATACATATTCTTTCAAATTATTTCGTGTGTTATTTCTCTAAAGATTTAACAATCAAAACCTAATTACAGTTCACCATCAATCAGTTAGAAAATCACGCACCACAAACTAAATGTTCACATCTTTCGGTAACCACTGATTTGCTCTTCGTATGAAGAACTAATGACTCACGTAACAGAAAACACAAGCATAACTCCGAATACATAGAACCTAATAATATTTCTCAGCGATTATTGAACAAAAATTGAATGAGAACATGGCCGTAAACTTACAAATTGGGAACAAAATGTGTGTGGGGTCGTAACCGGAATAAGTGGAGCACTTTCCGATGCCGGCGGATTTGGCGGCGAGTGACGGCGGCGACCTCCGGTGACCAAATACGGCGTCGGCGAAGAAGTGTAGAGAGTAGAAGCGGAGGCAAAAGGTAAGAGAGGAAGAGAAAGCGGGTTAGAACTGTTATGGATCCGAAACTAGGGATATAATTGGAATATTGACAAGTAAAAAAGGGTTGTTTCGGTAATTGAACTCATAATAAATAAATTGCTTTAGGTGATCGATATATAAGTAAAAATATTAGTTTAAAATTAAAATATTGTTATATGATTTTGGCAAATATTATAAGAGGCGCGAATGAAACTATAAGCTAAGAGTTGCGGAGCAAGATAATGTGTATTAGAAGGTGAAATGGCATAATTAATATGAAATATTATTTACGAAACTTATATTTTCCTATTTTTACTAATGAAGTTATTTTTCTTATTTTTAAGCAAGGCATTTTATCAAGGGACTCTTTATTTTGTTTGTTCAAATTTTTTAATGCCCAAGCAACCATTTTCTTTTATTGTAGGACTAAACTCTGACATCAATAATTTTTGTTATTTACAAGAAAAATTGACTAAAAAGAAAAGAATTCAATTTCACAATCCGATAATCAAAATCAATAGTTTGATTAATTCAGATACATAACATTGGGTAGATCCATTAATGGGGCAAGCCAACCTATCCCTCCGTTTACGAAGCTCAAGCCCAAAACATTATATTAAGAATGAAATTATTCCAACACAACCCTTTGTGATACTAAACAAGATGGCAATCCATAAAAGATTTTACAACAACAAACCGTGTATATTTTCATAGGTAAGGTTTGAGGAGGATGAGATATACGTAAACCTTACCCCTACCTTTGTGGGATAGAGAGATTGTTTCTGATAGACTCTCAACTCGGGAATCAACTGGATTTTACATTATTAATTGGATTTTCAATTATTGAGCCATGTTTTGCTTTGCCAAAAAAGCTAAATAAGATGGAAATAGTACAATCTGTCTTGTCTTAAGCCTAACACATTGGACTATGCAAAAATAAAGTTACTGTTAAGAGTAAAATACAACAAAAAGAACACACAAAGCCCAAATGAATGGAACCATCTTTCTGTCTCAAGAATGGAAGATGTAGTGTGGCCTTTAACACCAAGTCAAAGTTCATCCTGCAACAAAAAAAGAGTACCAACATCATTCATGGTACAAGAAAACATGTGTGGTATACCTATTATAAAGAGAATCTCCAAACATCTAGTATTTTTTTCCTATGTTGTTCAGTCTCTTCAGAAATGCCGCAGGGTGTCTGTCGGATTCTCCAAAAGTAGTGCATTTTTGGACAATCCGACACAGGTACAGCAGCATTTTGGAGAATCGGGCGGGGATAGAGAGTTGGAAGAAAAAAAAAACAGTTTATTCAGAGCTTACATGATAGTCATCATCATAATCACGGCGATAGCGCTGCAAAACAATAAATTTGACAGAGAAGTTAGACACTATATTTCAAGAGACAGAATTACTGAGCAAAATAAGAGACATGGGCATAGCATAACAAAATGGCATAATGACTACTTCAAGATTATCATTAAAACTAAATTTTTATTGCTATACTGAATCTGGTTAACATGAACAAAAATCAGTGGCCAGAAGCTCCTACTGGTTCTGATTAATGCTTATTGAGCAAACCAAAGCCATAAGTCGGGGGCAACTTACGATTTCTTAGCTTTAAAGCTATTTGAGTTTGAAATTTGTTAACAAAAGAAAGATAAGTTTGTCAAAGATAAATTGTATAACCAGAAAGATAGTCATAGAAATTGAAATCCGAGTAGGTACTATCCCGAACAAGGAAGGGCTTACAACAAAATTAGAAAGAAATTGTGCAAGGGAACAAGCGAGCAAATGATGGCAGAAAACTGAAAGGGAAAAGCATAGAGCATGTTGAGTTCAGAGACATGTGAAAAACTTACCCTCTTGTTTCTATCTCTGTGCCTGTCCCTACCCCTATCTCTATCTCTTTCACTTCTCCTCCTTTCACCTTCTTCTCTTGCTCTTTGGGCTTCCTGAAAATTCCAGCTATTTTAGCACTTGTTCCCGAAAAGACACAATATTTTAAATAACAGCATAATACATAAACGAACACTCAAACTTGGCCTCCCTAGCAAGTAAGTACTTCAATTTTGAGAGTGCATATCTAGACACCTCAATTTGATCTCAATGGCAACTAACACTCCAACTCGCCCCCACCATGTATGTGGACATCCGATGTTGACGTGATACATAAATTTTGAAGGTGTCTAGATGATCATTTTGTAAGTTGGAGTGTTTAATTGACACAGTGGAGACGAGATGAGGTCAAGGTGTCTAGATGTGCATACTCAAAGGTAGACTGTTTACTTGCCAGCTGAGGTCAAGTTTGAGTGTTTGTTCATGTATTACGCCTTAAATAAATGAAAACATGATATCAACCTCTTCCTCTTTTGCTTTTCTCACTTTCTCTGCCTCCTCAAAAGCCTCCTTTTCAGCCTGCAGATATTTATGTCAAGAAATCTGAGTGTTAAAGCAATAAGCTAGCACCAGATACCATAGGATAAGGGATCAAGGACAGACCTCCCTATTAGCAAAGACTTCCTCAATCACTTTCTTTGCATAATCGGGTTCATCGCATATCAGTATGTTGTCAAATAGAGAACCTGCTTTGACCTGCAGCCAATGACAAAAGTCAAAACACAACAGTACATCACCCAGAGGCGGATTCACGACATGAAGTTCACGGGCTCCTACGATCTCAAATTAATATACAATAATAACTTGGTTTACATTCAAATATCTATAGATATTTAGTGGATTTCTTAACATAACAACTGGTTCCCATGAACCTGTTGGGTTTGCTCTAAATCCACCATTGAAATCACCCATTCTAACTTCATAGAGTGTGAAAAGACAACATTATACTAGTTCAGACTACTAATCTTACCTGCCAAACTTCGATTCCAACATATTTGGTAGGCCTCAGCACATAGAGATCAGGATCATCTTCAAATTCTGAAGAGAGAAAGAGAGAGAGATCAGAATGGATTTCTAACAATATGATAGAACTTCATATCATTGGCAAGCGTATTCAAATGCATCTCAATACAAATGCATACATTCATTACCTGGATTGTCGATCCAAGGGGTCTTCCATTTACCTTTATAGTTAGGGTTCTTTACTTTCTGGGACATAAGATACACTTGCTAAGTAAATATTCCAGTTACAACTTGAAGAATTCAAGCTCCAGAGTTAGTAATCAGAATGATTTTCGCATACCTTTCGTTTCCATGGACCCTTATATGCTGGATTAGGAATTTTTGGTGGTCTCCAGATGCCATCCTCTTCATCATCCCAGTGATCAGGCTAAAAAAGGAAAGCAACTTTGGAAATTTAGCTTAAATTTTAAAACTTGCAAGTTGTAAGCTCATTGGTGCAAGCAGGCCTGTAACGTGTCTCAAATGATGACAACATATGAAAGGATAATGAAGCATGTGTACACTTCCCACTACGTTTCTACAAGTGCGGAAGGGGAAGTAAGGAAACCTGCTAAGACAGTGATGACCATTGACCGACGAGTACATCACTTGTGGAATAAAGTTAATTATACAAAAAAAAAAGATTGGTTGTAGTGATATAAGAGACAAATTATTTGACGAAACTACATGTGAATGAAAATATTCAGGACAGCAGACAAGAATAGAAAGTTCACTGTCAAGGAATAAAAAGTTGATGATAGAACTAAAGAGAAGAGTCTTTTCAGAATAACCACATTTCAGAAGCAGTAACTTCAAAACCTCATCCATAACACAGCTGATATTATGATAGTGTACATTAAAGCCAGCTGAACTAACCTTTTTAGCTTTTGGGTTAGGGATCTCTCTTGGAATAGATTCATATCCCTGGAGTAAAAAGTAGTAACAAGAAAATTTCAAAAAACAACTCAAAGCCTAAGAAACTGAAAAAACTGACCAAATGTGCAGTATGAACTACCTCTGGTTTGACCTCATTTAGATCCTCTATATATTCCCTATCATCCCAATCTGCAGGCTATAAGCAATGACAATTAAATAAGCCATTAATGAGCAGACAAATATCAGAAATCTTTACAGAATAGTTAAACAAATTGAGTTTAGAGGCATAAACAAGTTCAACATTTTCCTAAAATACCTTTTTCGCATTTACATCTTTAATTTTTCGAGGAGGAAAGATATCCCAGTCTGTATACATGCTTCCAGAATCCCTTTCTCGACCATCAATCCAGATGCTGTATGATGCATCAGGTCTAAGAATGAATGTGTAGAAATGGGTTAATTTGTCTGTTTCACATTGTAGATCCTTTTTGATTGGATAATTCTGGCCTTGGTAGGAAAGTATAACATGAAGTTTCTTAGTCTGTGTACCACAGATATCCGGTCCAAACATCATACTGCAGAAACAAAGACTTTCTGTAAATTAAAGTGGAAAAAGTGCATAACATGTAAACAAACTACTATGACAACTATATACTTCAATCAATTTACAGTAACTACTCAGTTACAGATACTGATCATTGAAATTTGACCAGTGTTAGATGTGTATCCAAACTCACAACCACTTACTAATCAGGAAAATAGGAAAACTGAAATTTGATGAATGTTAGATGTGTATCTGAACTCACAAGTCACAACCCTTTTTACTAATTAAGGTCATCGACATGCTGTCTTAGTGCACTTTCAGATAAAAGTAAAAGTTGGGGCTAAGGAGTGACATTTTACAGAAATACGTTCAGGCAGATGATTAGTCAGTCTCATCAAAGGAACATATTTAACATCAGAAACAATGTGTGAATTCCCCATTTTTCAGAAACCAAAAGATGGGACTGTGAGACAAAATATTGACAGCACACAAGCAGATCTTATGAAATCATGCCTAGGCAGCTCCAAAAGTTCTCGCAGTTACGGGATATCTTAAAATGAGATGGAGGAAGTTCACATGCAAAAGGTAGTGAGGAAAAACCTGTAAGGAGTGTCTCCCCCGAATTTCTTCTGGTTGACATATCCAGAGAGAAGCTTAATGTAACCTCCACCACATTCAATGTCTTGCTCAAGCTTTATAGAGTACTGTACAACCAATG